ACCTTTTGCACACTTTGTGTGCATCTTTAAAGAAAAATGGGACAAGGAAATGCCCATGATGCTGCTAAATCTCTCTGGCATTACTGTGCCATCAAGATACCTAGCAGATTATCAGCATGAGTGAGGTTAAAGGATGGTTTTCTGGGAGCCTAAGCATGATTCTTAGGAAGAGTGGTGCTAGGAAATGCAATAACCCAAGCCTTTCCCCACTGCTCTTAAGAGTCATCTTTTTACCTCCCTCTCTGGGGACAGAAGACAGCATTGCCAGACAGCATATCTCCACCTCTGTCCAAGTAGCTGTGGACAAAAGCCTGCACGGAGTCTGCAGGGTGATGATGGCAACTGGAGGGGGATCTTGACTTCATTTTGTGGTGGTTTTGGAGCTGTCAAGCACAGCTTTGCACACCCTGTTTCAAAAGTGATTTGTTGCAGGGATTAGGAGGGCTCTGGCTCTCCTTTAAACACATCCTGACATGGCCAAGGCTCCTGGATATGTGATAGGGGTGATCTTGCAGCTCCCCATCCATGACTGTACCTCACCTTGCCACATGGCTTTTGGGATCTGGATTACATCCCTGAAAGGTAAACAGGAGTTTGAAAGGCCCATTTGCTACCTTGCTACCTCTTCTGCACAGGGTTAGCATCATACAACGCTTTTGCTGGACAAGGAGCAAGGCTGCACCTACTGAAGGTAGGATGACCACTCCATGGTCCAGTTGTGTGCCAGAGACAGAGCCCATACTTTGGGGCACAGACCTCGCTCCTCTGTTGGCTGTGGGAGAGAGGAAGGCCATGGCCAGCCTCCTTGAAGCCAGCAGAAGAGTTAAAGGAGAGCAGAACAGTTACAACTAGGTCAGGGTGAATTATTCATAACAAATAATTTATTCACCAAACTCAGCCTCGTTTCCCACAAGCAGTGCTCCATTGTCCCGAATTTATTCACATTTGGGGGTTATTCCCAGAGCAGTTCTTGTCCCAGAGGCTGCAGTTCTCTTACTAATTCAAATCCGTTGGGGTGCCAGCTAGGTTTCCCGACATTCAGAATGCTCCTGTTCCTGTTCACATTAGACAAATGTGCCACTGAATAAAATCTACAGCGCAGATAGCTCACTGCTCACTTTCTGGGTCAGGCTGGGAGCCCACAGGGAACCTTTTATCCTGGCATTTCACACCAGGATGAATTTCCCCCTCATTTCTCTATCACATTCTTTGCCTATTCGGACATTAAGATGTTTCTAAGCAGAAACCAAATGCTGAAAGGAGATCAATTCTGTCAATCCTGCTTGACACAAAGCTTTGGTTTCTCATTTGGGATGTCCCTATTTGCAATTATATCACTGTAAGAAGCTGAGGGGTGTCTGCACCCCTCCTGACCACACAAGTAACAGGAGTTAAATCGCATTGCGCCCCTCAACCCATCTGTAGTCGGTTACTACTTCATTTTGTGCAGAGTTAATGAGGAGACTCTGGAGACAATACTGCAGCTCCTGCCTCTGGGGCCTCCTCCTGCAGCAGCAGTAACAAGCTCCCCTCGCCATGGCTGGCTCAGGAGGGAGGGGAATGCCTGAAACCACCTCATTAAAATCAAGGGCAAGAGGAGAGCTCCCCAAGCACAGCTGCGAAACAGGAGCGGGGACTCCATCTGCTGCCCGCTGCCTTCCCTCCAATGCTCTTGGAGGAAATTGGACATGAAGGGAGGAAAAGGAGCGGTGTCAGGTGCAGTGAGATCATAGAACAGTTTGGGTTGGAATGGACCTACAAAGGTCATCTAGTCCAAACCCTGCAATGAGCAGGGCTGCTTCACGTTGGTGTTCCAGTTTCACAGTGAAACCAAGCCTAACCTGATCTAGAAGCAATTCTCTGCCAGGTCTGGGCACCTGAGAGGGATTTTTACCTTTTTCTTTTCCTGTTCCCCAACCATTAATTCACCTGAACACCTCTTGTTTGTGGCTGACAATTCCCAGGGCACCCCAAGTGATGCAAGCGTTCCACTAGTGCAGGGAAGCATCAGGTCCCCTGCCATCTGTATGGTACATCTGTATGTATCAGCAGGCTCATATGTTTTCCTTCTGGGGTCTAAAAAGATGGAAAATTGTCCAAATCAGATTTTGGGTTTTAATCAGATTTTTGCTTCTTATTCCAAAGCATGAGGAACTAGTAAGACCCATCCCTGGCAGTGCTCAAGGCCAGGTTGGATGGGGCTTGGAGGAACCTGCTCTAGTGGAAGGTGTCCCTGCCTGTGGCAGGGATTAGAACTGGATGAGGTTTAAGGTCCCTTCAAATACAAACCATTCTATGATTCTATGACTGGAAATTTCAATGACCTAAAGGTGTCTGAGTTGACCTGTTTGACCAGTTTGCATACTGGGTTGCTGCATATAGCTTTGATGTGGCCTGTGTTCCGCATCCATGTGCTTTGGGAATTCAGTCTGGAAAGTCAGTTGGGAGGATCTGGGATGTCTCCGTCCCAAAATGTTTTTTTGGCTCTAGTTTTTTGTGAGGATAGAGCTCTCCTGTGGGGAATTATTTTTCATCTGCTTGCTCTTCATCTCCATGCATCTTCTTTCTCTCTCCGTCCCTTAACTCTCCCACTGTATTAGGATTCAGTGGGACACTGTAAGTGGTACCTGGGGACTCTTGTTTATGATATAACTTTTTGGTAACATTTTGTGTGCTGAGGGCAGGGTCTGCATGAAAATCCTGTTTCATTTAACACAAGTGAACAGAAAAAAATTTGTCGTTTCGTTGCCAGCATTTGATACTGTCACTGAATTGTAAAGGGAGGAGAGTCTTAGCTTAGATTTCCCTATCTGAGGCTTGTCAGACATGGAAGATAAACTCTGGGCAAGCTTTAAGAAGGACCTTTGAGATTACAATGGCTTGTCTCAGACTTTAGGAGGGAGTTTGTTACAAGAGCCTCTTGTCCCTGCAGCATGCAATGAGATCTGAAGGTATGTGATAAGATAACTAAGGCAGTCTCGGCTCCTTGAATGTCAGCTCACTTCAGAAGCAGACTTGTGCCCTCAGTCTGTCCCCTATAACCCACTGATAGACCAAGTCTTCCTTCACCAGTCTTGGCTTGGTTTTGGGTAGAGCACAGGCGTAAGAGTTGGGGCTAACAGTGAGCAACCTCCCTCTCACCTCACCTATTGCTCCAGGCACATCTTTGCTCTCAGCTACACCGTGTTTCTCTTCACCAGCCCAAACCTGCCCATCATCAGCAGTGCTCCTAGCACCCAGCTTCCCCAGCCAGTAAGGAGGGTGAGAGGAGGTGCACAAGGCACCCCTGAGCTGCTGCATTTCCATCTGAAGGGAGGGTTAAACCAACAAAGCTGCATCTCTAAATGATATTTGCAACCACTGACACTGCACAGTATAACAGTGCATGGAGCCAAAGGGGGATCTGGCCTTGCCTGTGCACTCTCTGCCTCAGTAAGTCTGTAGCCCGCTGCTGAAGGTGCTTGAATTTCTTTAGCATCATGTTGGGCTGTTGTTAAACAAAGAGAAGGTTTCTGTGAAGCGATAGGGATCAAAATAACAGCCTAAAGCAGCAGCTTTCAGATGTGGATGAAATTCCCTCCCGAGCAAGGGGCCCGGGCTAAACTAACAGTTGGGTTTACAGGCTGCTACGAGGCTCTGCTCAGGCAGATTAACACTCAGTGATTCCTCAGGTTGCACATACCCTTGGAGAGCGGAAGCACAGGGGCTTGTCTGATGTGGCTCTGGCCATGGAAGCTTCTAAGGAGCTCGTGAAAGCTGAGAGAATGAGAAAACATGAGGTTGCTGGAGGAGAAGAAATCAGTCCTTTAAATGTGTTGCTAAGGTTATCAGGAAGGCTTGGAGAGTGTTCCTCCCCATCTGCATCTACATGCTCTGCTGCCAATGGTGTAAGGAAGCCACAGCTTCCCAGAGTGATCTCAGGTACTCCATTGCTTACCAGGGTGAGGAATTTGCCCTGTCAGAGGTGGTCCTGGCTCGTGATGAAGAAGGAATTGTTCTCAGTTCTGGAGATCTTGGAAGACACTTATCCGGAAGGACTATTCCATGCTCAGACTGAATGAACATATCTGGGGGAAATTGTAGTCCTGCTCTTGCTAATCCATGCTGCTCCCTAATGGGGAAGCTCTGGATGGAGCTGTGTAGCTCATTGACTAGAGGGAAAGGAGGAGACCTCCAGAGCTCATACAATGCCACAGTGAAAGGAGGTAAGAGAGAGAACCCAAGTGTCTCCAATAAAAAGGATGTTGCACACCTTTACCTATTAAAAGCCAGGCCCAAACTGCCCTGGAGTACTTGAGCCACACCGCAGGGCTCACCAGCCTTGTTTTCAAGTGTTCTTCGAAATGCATCATCACAGGGCTGCTCCAGAGACTGCACAGATCCTGTTAGAGGCACTCCCATGCCTCCTGTTGTCAGTCACTGAAAGTGCCTTTATCACATCCCACTCACCTCACTTTCTGGATGGAGCTGCATCCTTGAGTGGCAGACACAAGTCATCCACCATCTTGCTTTATTCAAGGATTCCAAGTCCTCTTTGTTCCTGTTGCTGCTGTTGTAGAACCAAAATACGGGTGAAGCTCACTCGCGTCGGAAAGGATGGTGGAGGTGGCTTCATGGGTTATACCTCCTGAGCAGGCTGCTTTGGCAGGGGAGATGGGTACCAGCCACATGTCTGAAGGCTGCAGACATAATTGGAAACTGCTAGGAGCAGGATATCAGGCTGTGAAACTGGATGGGATCAAGCAGGCTTCTTCTGGAAGAGCTCTATTTGTAGGATTGCAGTACAAATGCTGGCAAATAACCGTTCAACCACTAAAGCCACCGTTACAGCTCAGAGGAGAGCTGGCATCTGTACAGAGAAGATGCATTTAACTCAGTGCACAAAAGGTTAACACACATTTGTAGTCTGGCTATTTCTATGGTCTTGCAGTATGGGAGGGAAGGGGTGGAGGGGGGGGAATCCTGGCCCAGGCTCACAGCCACCACGTCTCTCTCTGCAGCGCCTGGTGCGGATGAACATGCCGATCTCACCTGAAGATTTAACCGTCCACTTCACGTCCACACTGATGGCCCTGATCCGCACTGCCCTGGAAATCAAGCTCGCCTCAGGTGAGAGGGAGGTGATGCCCTACAGCCTGTGTGGGCTCAAACCCCAAGCGCCTGTTGGCTTGGTGTCTGCCCTGGGTGGTGTCTTCCTATTGCCTGGCTGCCATCTGCCAGCCCCTGAGGACAAGGGAGCCTCATGGACAGGCAACAGAAGGGTCTGGATCATTGCTCTGCCTTTGGGCTGGCTGCTTACAGCATCCCTGTGGAGGAGACGTGGAAAACTTTGGCCATCCCCATTGAGGGCTCTCGGAGGAGAAGCCCTGTGCGTGTGCTTGCTGCTGTATAAGAGAAATGAAACTTTCCACACCTCTTTTCTTCACTATTCCAGCATGAGGGAAAACCAGCCCTTCCTCACCAGTTGCTGGCAGCGAAGCAGTGACTCCAAATGCCCTGCACTTTCTGCCTTGTGATAAGATTTAATTATTTAAGTGTTTAATCAGGCATTTACTTGACTTCCCAATTAAACATTGCAATGTAATAAAAGACATTGGCCTCTTCTCTGGGTCGTTACACTGTTTAATCAGGCTGGCTGGGGTCAGAAGTGAGGCATGACTGGCCAGAGCACTCCTATACCTAATGTGAACGCTAACAGGAGGTAACAATGCTCTTACAAGCAAAAGGCAGGGCAGGGTTAGGATGTCATGCTTTTCCTAAGCAGTTTTAGGTCAGCCATTCAACCTCTCTGTGTTAGTTACCTCCCCATTTGTTGCTTAAACTTTGTCTTTGATGCTTTGGGCAGGCACTGCTGGAAGAAGACAGTATTTTGAGGTCACTGGGACTCCCCTAGGGAGTGACACCAAGTATCAGACACCTCATTCCTAAGGATGCACTTAGACTGCCTGGGATTTTAAGGGCCAGCACCTTATTTCAGTTATATTTCATCTAGACAGGGATGCTGTGAGTGTGTCTTCTTTAGGCTTCTCGTTACCTGTCAGCAGTGGCAGTTGAAACAGCCTTTTTCAACTCAAAAAGGCTTCCCCACTCCTTTCTTTGGGTGCACACGGGAAGGGAACCAAAGAGAGCTCAGCTGATAGCGCTGGGTTCTGTCGGCAGGTTTCTATCTGCTGTGAGTTGGGAGGGTTTGACCTGGTTTGTTGTTATATGCTTCGTTTGAATAGTTTCCATGTGTTACAATTAATTGAGTCTTTAGTGGGATTAACAGGCCCTTAATAAACCCTCCCTAATGAGTTTCTGTGTGGGAGTACAAACCACTGTATAGCAGGGAACCCAGAACCTCCTCCCATTACCTTTCTCTTAGAAAACTAATCTCTGTCATTCAGATGAAGCACTTAATTGCCTGCTGTGCCGTGCAGTCATCTGGGAGCTGGCTTCTTGGCTTACATGTATTTTAATCACTTTCCACCTGTGTATTAAGAGCTCACTTTGGCCATTTGAATAATGCCACCGTGTTCTGCTCTTTCTGTTTTACCTTGCGATGTGGCTGCTGTTTGATGCTGCTAATACAGAACAGGGTGCTTATGCCTCAGGGCCAAAAAACCTTTAGGAAGAGATAGTGTGAAGAGTGTTTATAATCATAAATAATGCCATAACCATGGCATTGCTCATAGTCCAGCATCTCAGACCAGGTCATTTACATCACCCTCGGGAGGTGCTGCTGCTTTCTGGTGACAGAACCCAGCACCCCGTATGAGCAGTTAGGTAGAGTAGGTCTGAACTTAAGTTTAAGCTCTAAATAACTGCAGAGGGTCAGCAGGCTGAAGCAATGATGGTCCTGCTGCCTTCACACACTTCTATCACAGAGGAAGTCACTGATTCCCTTTGCAGCATCCGCTGCATTGGCACTGGCTTGCTGTCCTCAAGAAATGGGAATGGAGGAAATGCCCTCTCCCATGCTTGCTGTGCAGTGGGATGTGCTGGCAGGGCAAGGGCTCTCACTCCTCCTTGTGTGCCTCTTTCCCTCCTCTCCTGTTCTGCAGGCGGTGTTAAGCAGCACCAGTGTGATGCGGAGTTGAGGAAGGAGATCTCGCTGGTTTGGCCCAACCTGTCCCAGAAGACTCTGGATTTGCTGGTGCCTCCTCACAAACGTAAGTGGTCCATCAGCAAGCACCCAACCCATCCCATGCAGGGTCGGTTTCTCCCTCCTTGCCTGCTCTGTTCCTGGCCCCATCGAGGCGCACGATCAGCTAGAGGATGCAGAAAAGAAACTAAAGGCATTTCAGCTTCTTGGTATCCTCTCCACAGGGTTCATAGCCTGCACCTCCACGCCATGGTCACAAAAGGAGCAGGAAAGCTGACCTACATCTAAGCATGCATTTCATTATGCTACAGTAGATTTTACAGTACTCAGGGCATTTTTCCCTTCTTGGCATTATTTGGTTTAGGATTTTTTTAATGTGTGGCCTCTACCAGAGCTTTTTCATAGCTCTGTTGGCCTCCAACCTGTGCCTTGCAGGACAATTTCTACCATCTGAGCTCCAGGAAACCAGGAGAAGAAAATGGAAGTTTGCTGATAATTTACTGAATCAGAAGTGAGGTATTCTGAGGCTAAAGGCCTTTGTGTTACTTGATGATGTCCTGGGCACATGTGCTGAGTTTTGCCATTATCTTGATTAGCCCAGACATGGGCTCTGGATTCCTCATTAATGAGAAACAGTGCAGAGCAATGCAGGTATTGTTCATTAAGAACGAGGCAACTGAGGAGGTGCAAATCAGTGGGCAGTGGTTGCTTAAGTCTTTTCCTCCCCTCCTCTCTTGATGCCTGTATATCTGCTGCTTCAACTCCCTGCTCTACAGTAAATGCTCCACTGCTGCGCAGGGAAGGGCTGTGAGCCCATAGCTGTGAGGGTGGAAAAAGACATCTGGAAAGATGAAGTACTCTCAAAATCTATATTAGCCCATCATGCCCCAGTCGATCGTAATTCAAAGAAACAAGAATAAGGCTGCTTTGTTGATAAAAAGCTGGCTGTGGATCTGGTATTAACCTAGTGATTCTTCTGGCTGCAATGCTTACAATGGCACAGAGTTTTCCTGGTTGTTTTTTAATACAGTCTCTTTTGATCCAGAGAGCTGGAGATAGGGGCCATCCTCCTCAGACATGGAAGGCAGCAACAGGCAAATATCTGAAGAAGTCTGTTGTAACCTTTCTTGGACTTTTTTTGTCTCCCCCGTGTTTCTGTGTGTTTTGCTTCGTTATTCTCATGTTGCCTCTTCTTTCTCTATAGCTCCCATTTGTTGTTATTTCTCATGCTTATTGACTTATTCTTCTCTTCTGATCCTGCTCCTCACCTGGATGTCTCTGCTGCATTTGGCCATCCTCTGACAGCTGATGAGATGACCGTGGGGAAGGTGTATGCAGCACTGATGATATTTGACTTCTACAAGCAGAATAAGAACAGCAGGGAACAAGTCCACCAGCCACCTGGAGGCCTCTGCCAGGTACTCAGCTGAAAGATGTCCTTGGTCCTCCTTCCTGGGAAGCCTCTTCTTTTGTATGGCTGGAAAAGTGTGCTCCACAAAATGTCCAGTGACATCTGGCAGTCTGAGTCAGGTTCTCAGAAGTGGCCTGCACCACAACCTGCACACGGCTGGGGAACACCAAAAGAGTTCTTTGGGACACCAAGGAGTTACTGAAAGCTGATGATATACAGAATCCCAGAGTGGCTTGGGCTGGAAGAGACCTTAAAGCTCCTCCAGCTCCAACCCCTTCCAGGGGCAGGGACACCTTCCACTAGAGCAGCTTGCTCCAAGCCCCTGTGTCCAACCTGGCCTTGAACACTGCCAGGGATGGGGCAGCCACAGCTTCTCTGGGCACCCTGTGCCAGCGCCTCAGCACCCTCACCCTAACCCTAGCCTTTTATCTAATCTGAACTTCCCCTGTTTAAGTTTAAACCCATTAATCCCGTATATAATAGTTTTTGCTCTTTTCCTTCTGACAGACCAGCCCCAGAGGATGGGATCAAAGAGTCCAATATAGCTGTGTTTACATTGGCCATAAAAATTTTAAGTTACTTATGAAAAAGGGAATTCTTCAGATTCATTTCGGATCTGAGAGATTTGGTGACCCTTACAATTTCTTGACAATATTTCCACACAATCATCTTGGGATTGAAATCCCAGTGGTTTCTGATGTGACAAATACCTATAGATTTCAGGCTGATAGTCCTGCTGATTTCCTGTCTGTCTCACAGGTGGAAGGCTACAGCACAGCTAGTGTCACAATGAATTGCACAGCCCCTTTGGTCATATCAGTGGACAAAATCTCTGCTGTGCTCTCATGACCAGGAGGATGCTTTGTTAGAGGGAGGGTGACAAAGTGGACCTTTTGTTAACTAGGAAGAGCATCACAGCCCATCCTTCCCATGCACAGCTCTGTTTCTGACAACCTCTCCTTGTGCTTCACAGCCTGGACCGGTGTCACTCTTCCACCCCCTGAAGGCCACTTTGGAGCAAACCCAACCTGCAGCATTCAGCAATGCAAAGGCTTTCCTTCGCCAAAAGAGCTCAGCATCACTCAACAATGGGGGTGCCTTGTGAGTATCCCGAGACCTCCCCACCAAAGCTGTAGGGCAGAGAAGGGGCACACAGGGTGTATCCACCTACCCCAGCCACTGCTCATTCAGTCGCTCTGGAGGTGGGGACACCAAGACCAGGAGCCCCTCCACACCATGGCTGGGACAATTTGCCACTGGTGGCCACCAAAACGCCTGGTGCAGTTGTCCATATGGTGTTAGTGTTGGGTTTTCTTAGTGCTCTCCTCTGAATCTCAGTTGGAGAGCTTTCCGTATGGTAAGTGTGAGTTTACAGGGATTTGGGCATTGTAAAACAACCAAGCAAACCCTGACCCACCAACCACCACCGCAGTGAGGTCTTGGGAATCAAAAGATCCTTGGGAACAAAGTCATCCCTGAAGCTCAGGGCACTTGGTAACAGCAAGAGCTCCTTCAGACTGGTTCATCTTTGTGCAAACTAATACCTCCACAGAGATCTTACCAAACAGTTATAGTAACGGTGATCCCTAATCCATTCTCTTTTTCAGGTGACTTTCCTTGGGTCACAGGCACTTTGAATTTTTAGTGATAGACATCTGAAGTTTAAATGTTCTAATTAACCCTAACGGGGAAACCATCACCAGCCTCTGTACTGAAACCCAGAGTCCCCTGTACCACTGTAGCATCAGTGAATGTGCTTTAGCATGGCTGCAGATGTGTTTGACCAATGTCTAACTGGCCTCGCATGCATAATTTGCCTGACCTCCAAAATTCTTCATTCTTCTTCATCAGAACTTAAGCTGCAGAAGCTGTTTTCCTTAGTTAACTGAAGAAAAATGTGGTGTCTGGCTTGATTTCCTTGTTGCTTGTGGGATCTTCAGGCTGTATAGGAAGTGACCATGTCAAAACCCAGGGGACCTTATAGCTTCACCAGCAGCCGTGCCTATCCTGTAACTGGTTTCACAAGTGAAATCCCAAAGGGTATCTGAGGGCTTTACCCGCGTCACAATTAAGGAAGAAAAATCTCCATGCAGAAGAGTTAATCTTTTTTCCTCTCTTCCTTCTGACAGGCCAGCCCCAGAAGGTGGGATCAAAGAGTCCAGTTCTTGGGGGACCCAGCGCACCCAGGATGTGTTTTATGAAACCAGGACACCAGCTTTTGAGAGAGGCCACTCAGAAGAAATCCCCATTGAACGGGTGAGCAAACAGGGTGCAGATGTGAAGACAGAATGAGATGTGGGAGATATTAGAAAAGATATTTAGAGATTTTAGAAAATGTTTAGAAAAACTGGGTGAAATGCAGTAGGCAGTAGCTCTGTCCCTTGAGACAAGTGTTACTGCGTCTCTTAAAACCCCAGGTTTGCTTGAACTGGAGAAAACCCAAATCTGGTAGCGGTAGCCTGTACAGTCTGATAGCTGTACATATGGACACACTTTGCATGGAATTGTCTGCTGTAATAGATTTCTTAAGGTTATGTCTTCCTAGTTGTCCCATTGTCACAATTCCATTGTCCTCAGTGTGCAAGCTGAGATGAGGGGTTGCTGGGACTCATTGCCATGGCTGGTGGAAGAGCTTGGCCCACTGTTGTCCTCGTTGAAGACGTCACTGTAGATAGGGTAAACCTGGGCACTGTAGATAAGGATAACCTGGGTACTGTAAACAGAGTAACACGGGTGCTCCATAGCTCTTAATTTACTTTCTTTCCCATATCAGCGTCTCTTCACAATTAAATCAAGCTTAGAAGCAGCCTGCTCAAATGATGCCTTCAAAGCTCATGTTCATGTTCTTGCTAACTGAAACCATTCCTTGTTCTGACCAGGTGGTAGAAATGAGGGAAATCAGCCCCACACTTGCCAATGGAGAGCACCAACCAGGCCTGGAGAGCCAGGGGCGGGCAGCTTCCATGCCGCGCCTGGCTGCTGAAACTCAGGTGAGCAAGGGAGATCCACCGGCGGTGGGAGACCAGGAGTGGGGCAGGAGCTCAGTACCTTCTCTCTGCTTTCTGTGCCCTTGGAAGTCGCTTGTCAATACTTGTTTTGAAAGACATGCTGAACCTGGAGACAGGTAACCAGCCTTCATGCTTGGATGGCAGGGACTCACGTGTAGTCCCCAGCTTTACTCATCCCTGGTTGTAGCAAAAAAGTGACCCAGAGAAATCCCTCTGTCTGGGTAGCTTACTGAGGACTACCTACCCAAGAGTGTCTATTCTTATTGACTGGGGATGATACTGTTTGCCAGCCTGTATTCCTGGAAGGTGTGTTTTCCATTGACTGTTGCGTGCCATCTATCCAGACAGTTAAGGCATAGCCATAAAGCAAGCTGGAGATGAGCATGCTCATCTCTTTGATGGATGTAGTAGGTACAAACAATACCAGGGAGCCTGTGCCTGGAAGGCTGAACTGAGACACTAAGAATCCTCCCTGGTTTTCATCTTCTTACAGTATGTATTGTGACTTTGGTCAGGAAAATGTTGAGGATTTCCCTTGTTTAACTTCTTGTGCAGAAATCTCATCACTGGAGTCGACTTTTACAGCACCATGTGAAGGCTACTTAGTGCATAGGAAGTCATGGTTTCCACAGATCATTTCTGGGCATTTCACATGTTCATTGCTAGCTTGTTGTCCCAGATGCTTGTCAGCCACTGTCCTGCCTCCTGTGTGTCAGAACATCTCACCACTCATAGCTGTGTGTCTCTCATTCAAAGGGCTTGATTCATACAGCCAGGGGTGAGCAGCCCATGTTTGTGGGCTGTTTCTGCTGCTCTCTGTGGGAAGCAGAACGTGAAAGATAAATCTAAAAGCCTGTGTATTGCATTCCCAGCAATGGTTCCAATGGATGTCATCTTTCTGCTGACGTGCTCAGGCTGGCATAAGCTACACTTCATCAGCTGTCAGCTTTGACTTCAAAAACTGCACCCTTTCTATGAGAGCTGAGACTCTGCCTTATCAGGAGCACCTCTCAACATGTTTAATAAAAGAAACAGACCCCAAAGCAAACCTGTATTCCCTCCCTTCCCCCCTTCCCAGAACAAAGTTGTCCTTTATTCTAGACCGTAAGTTGAATCTTCCCTTCCAAGGCAGTGCAGTTGGCAGCAGCAATGCCAGCAGCACCAGCCTTCCCTTGGGGAGCTGCTCTCCATTGCACTCAGACATTTGCAGAGGTGAGCGTCTCCCATGGGAGCATGGTAGGTGTTCCCCAGCTGCCCCACGTGAAAGCTGTCTGATCTTATGAATCAGGCCTTTAATATCTGAGCAGATCTAACCTCATTTAATAATACAATGTTTTGGCAGTTGTAGCTTCAGCTGAATAACTGATGTACTTTCTGTGTGTGTCTTCCCCCTCCATGCCCTCCGCCTTCCCTTCTCACATGCTGCTTCTGCTCCCCTCACCAAATCTTGACTTTCTTATAACTCTTATTTGTAATGCTCTCTGTTTCTGGATGTCTCCCTTTCCGTTTGCCTGTTACTTCTCTTTTTATGTTCCTCTTTTTAACCCCAAACCTTCCTATGCTCCCAACCTCACCTCTTTGTTGCCCTCCTCCCTCCCTTGTCGTCATCGTGTCTGCTGCCCATCTCCCGTGATGTCTGACACTGGCTGTACTGTGGGGCTGCTTCAAATAATGTCTCTCATCTTGTCCGAATTGTTTGCAGAGGAGCAAAGCACGGTCACCGGGGAGTTACCTAGCAGTATGTAGTTTCCACTAAGTTGTATCCTATTCGATTCCTGTTAAGAAATAATGAACCTTCCTTAACCCTTTACTTTTTTCCCCCTTCTCATTTGGAGCCCAATGTCACAGCGACTCAACCGCTCTCTCTTCTCCCTTTGCTGCCGTTCCCTCAATCCACTGTTGCACGCTGCACGCTGTAAAAGGGAGTTTGTTTGGTTTGCTTATTTATTTGTTTCTCTCTGCCTTTTGCACACGAATTTAGGAAGTGAAAACAATGGGGTTGGTAATGAAGAAGCAATGAGTGACTCTCTGGAGGGTTATGGTGCAGTCTCCCAAGGCTTGTGGGGGGAGCCCTGTTAACGTAGCAAGAGTCAAGAGCTGTAGAAGGGTGTTCATTGCTTTGCCACTTCCCATTAGTGGCAGGGAGACTTTTGTCCCTGGAATAAGGACAGAATCAGGTCCAAAGAAAATGTTAATTCCTATCAATTTGGCTATTTTTTGATGGGAAATGTTTGTCATCTTCTTCCTGGTAGATCATGGAATAGTTTGGGTTGGAAGGGACCTTCCAAGGTCATCTAGTCCAACCCCCAATGGATTGAAGAAATACGGACAAGTGTTTTTGATGGGAAGTAGTCTCACTTGTCACTTTTTTGCCCATCAGGCTATCCAGTTTACAGCTCCCTCTGCCTTCCTCCATCTTCAGGCTCAACAGTAAGCAAGGAGGACAATCATGAAGCTCTTCAGTGTACTTCTTGCCCACACAGCAAGGGCCACAGAAGGCGACAAGGGCAGCACAGCACTGCTGCCCTACCCCAGAAGTGCCTGAAGAGCTTTCCGTCTCTAGCACTGCATCTTTTGGTGGGCAGCACCAACATTTGGGCAACTTATAGTATGGGACAGAGCATCAAACAAAATTTCAGCCTGACTGTACCTTTGCACGCAACATAATCCCTCTGCAACAGTTCTTCCACTCAAAATAAGGAACAGAGCTGTGAAGCAACCAGCTTTGCATTGTGTAAATATCATAGGACAGCAGAGATCCGAATTTTGGGATAAGCAAACAAAATAGCATAGACAGTAAAAATAATACAGGGCTCTTTGGAAAGGTTACTGCTAACAGAGTAAATGTTCTGCGAGAACGGTCATTGGAGGCATATATACTGGGTTGTGAATTCAAACAAGAGGAAGAGCTGAGGGACTGGAGGATGTTCTGAGCTCCTTCCCCATCGGTAGGACCACTGTGCTCTGAGGTCCTTCCTTCCTCTGCCATGCAGCTTTGATGCAGGGATAGACCCAGGGAAGGCTCTAGAGGATGGGTGAAGCCCCGTCTCCACCACAGAGGCCAGCAGAGTGAAAGAGGAGGACACACAGGAATTGTCCTCCTTTTCTGAGCTTCACAGTTGGTGAGTAGGTAGTAGGGAAGGAAAAGACTGTGAGAACAGCTGTCCTGTAGCCCACTTGTCTTTGTTTCTGCAGAGCATCTTTATAAAGGCTTGAACCTAAAGGGAAGGGAGCAGAGTCTGGAGCTGCCACTGGCACAGGGACAGGGTCCAGCAATGCCAGTGGGAAGCTGTGTTACTGTGCTTAGTGTCCAGATGTTTGGACACAAATGATTTGAAAACAGAAATAGCAAACCCAAGTAGTCGTTTTCGGAAATACCGTTAGAATTTGAGGACATACATGCTATCCCACTTGTTGCAGGCTCGTGGGCCTCAGGGAGTGATGGTGGGACAAGAAAGGTTTAAATGTTTAATGGGAGATGTTCTCAATTGCAGGGAGATAGAAGTAATTCCTCAGTGGCTTAGCCTGTATCTTTCTCACTTATTCCTGAGCTTGCTCCCTCTGTTTGATGCCCAGCAACGCTTTCCTGCTTTCCTCTTTGGAGTTGCTTTGGGATGACCAGAGGCCCTGAAGCAGCTTTGGGTGAAACTAGTCTTGGAGAATTCTCTTTGTGAAATGCTTGGCTATTGTGCTGCCCTATGCCCCTGCTGGTCCACCGCTGCCTCCTGTGATGCTATGTTTGGTGTGAAGTGCTGCATATCGCTCTGCACCCCGTGGGTTGCACTCTGCTAAAAGTAAAACCCCTTTCAGCAAATGGAGATCCTATTTGCTCCTCAAATGTAGCACAAGTCCTTCTGCCCATCCCGGTTATACACAATTAACCATTTTTCTCCTTCCCCTCCCTTCCCCTTTCTCTTCCCGTATAACCCTCCCCATGGTGGGAAACAAGCCTCTGAGCACGGTGCAGCTCCTGCTCTCACCCTGCTCCATATCCCTCCATCTGCCTTGCAGCCCATCCCGGACACAAGCCCCATGAAGCGCTCCGTCTCCACGCTGACCCCGCAGCGTCCTCACCCCATGCACCTCTACGAGTACTCCTTGGAGCGCATGCCGCCGGAACAAGTACATCACCACCACCACCACCGCTGCCACCGGCGGAAAGAGAAGAAGCAGAAGTCCTTGGACAGGTCCCCCCATCAGCTGGCCGATGGACAAGCTGGTAAGTGCTTTGCAAACCAGGATTTGTCCCTTGTCCTCCTCCCTCCAGGAGGCACAGCAGTCATCTAGTGTGATTTGGGGTCCTGTCTGCCCCACACTTGGGAGTTCCTCCCATGTTGGTGACCCCCAACAAACGTTCTTTCAGTGGCCCATTCTGGGGAGTCTTCTTCCAAGGACAAGAAGCAGGAACGCGGCCGGTCCCAAGAGAGGAAGCAGCACTCTTCCTCCTCCTCTGAAAAGCAGCGCTTCTACTCCTGCGACCGCTACGGCAGCCGGGACCGTTCTCAGCCCAAGTCTGCTGATCAGAGCAGGCCCACCTCACCCAACGGAGGGCCAGAGCAAGGTCCACACAGACAGGTGAGGAGATGCGGGGTGGGAAAAGAGCTCTAAGGTCTTCCAGGGATGTATGTGCATTCCCACGTTTTGCTTAAAACACAGGAGACAATAATGGGGAAGGAAGGCCAGGAAGCAGCAGATTAAGCCATTGAGGTCTTGCTTGGTCCTTCACATCCAAAACAGGCATGGAAATGTCACTGGATGGCTCTTCAGAAGTCATCTACAGAGTGAGTGACTCAAGGCATTGTGCAGAGATCTCACTGCCAGGGACACCCTTGCTCATGGTTTCAGCAAAGCCTGGGAGACATGAGAACCGACAGTTCTTGATGCTGGTGAAGAAAGTGTATCTGAGACAGGTAGTGTGCTATGGGACATGGGCAACTGAGCTGAATGTTCTTCCGCCAGCCTTAATCCGGCACCTACTGCTGCCCTTGCACAGACATCTGATGGCTGCCAAAGAAATCCTTGGCCAAGCCAATGTACTGCAGTATAGGGTCTGCAGGCAGCCAGAGCTGTGACTTCAGCACAGTTTGCTCGTGTTAGCAGCATTTTCCAATTGCTGTTGCGTGGGCTTCAGAGCTGTATTGTGGAACAGGTTCGTTTACTGAAAATTGAGGGGAAAGTCCCTTTTAACCTATTTAACATCCATCTGGGAGGAGGAATCCCAGTAAGGGAGAGGAGGAATGTAGGTGAAGGCAGGACCTGGGGCGAAGGGTGCTCCCCACAAACATCTCAGGGTTCAGACAGCCCCTGTGCCAGGAGGGAGGCTTTGGCCACTCTCCAAAGTCTCCCCACGTTAGCAGCTGGTGTGTGACAGGCTGGGTGCCTGGGGAGGACGTGGGTGATGCCGTCAGCCCTGGAGCAACATCAGCACCTGGGGAGCAGGAGGAAATCCTGTGTTCATGAGTTTGAGCCCAGGGGAAGGGTTTGCCCAGGAAGCTGTGGCTGCCCCATCCCTGGCAGTGTTCAAGGCCAGGCTGGACACAGGGGCTTGGAGCAAGCTGCTCTAGTGGAAGGTGTCCCTGCCTGTGGAACTGAATGAGCTTAAGCTCCTTTGTAACCCAAACCATCTTATGGTTTAAATGACAAGGCTTCATAGTGTCCCATTAGCTGCAAAACGAAGCAGCTTTTTGTCTCCTTACCCTGTACCATGCCTTTCTCTCTCCTTGCAAGGTCTTTAGCAGCATCAGGTGCTCTGCGCTGTAGTGAGTGCCTGGGGGCTGCTGCCATGCAGCTCTGGAGACACAGGGAATAGGACATGCTTTGCACAACCATTCTCTCCCAGGAGGAGATGGGACATCAGGGTAAGGCCTGATAGAGTCACAGAATCAACAAGTTGGAAAAAGGCATCTAAGAACTTCAAGTTCAACCTTTACACAGGACTGGTTCTGATGCACCCACGGTGGGTCTTTTCCATTTCTGGTTGCTGCACCCCCCAGCTGGCCTTCATCTGATTTTTTTTTTCAGATGAGTTTTTATTTCCATTTCTTCATTTCCCCCCTGCTTTGAGAGGCAGGAAAATGCCACTGATTTTCAGTATGACGCCTCTCCATTCTTGCGTGCTCAGGACTTTGAATATCACATATGTCTTCACTAAAAGACTGAAGTCTTGCCGTAGTTCATAGACATTCAGCATTAGAGCATCAGCAGCCTTTTATAAACCTGTTCCAGTGAAGTCTGCATTGCTCCACGTGTGCGTTTAGTAAGGCAGAGAGGAGAAAGCTTGTTGTTTTGGGGTCCATGCATTTTATCCACTCACATGATACCTGCTTTGAGTGGAGCTGCTGATAGATCCCTGCTGATAGACCCCTGTTTGCTCTGGAAAGAAAAACAGATCAAAAATACCATCCAAGCCATCAGGTCATTTCTGTCCCAATGAGATGAAGACCTTTTGTCTTCATAAAGTGTCTGCAAGAAGCTCTGTCAGTTCATTTCCTGTGTTGTTTTGGCTCCATAACAAGGTGCATGTAAACCCCTGCACTATTTTCTTTGTTAGTCTGTCCCTCTCCTCAGGAGAAGCAGCTTCTCCCAGGAGCTCTGACGCAGCATGTCCCCAGGTCCCTGGAGGAAGCTGGCTTGAGCTTCACGCTGCCAACAAGGTGGCTCCATTCCAGCAACAGCCAAGTCAAAAATCAGGGCATGTTCAAAGAGAAGCTCTTCAGAGGTTTTTTCAGTACAAAAGAAGGAGATAAGGGAACCAAGCCATGAACTTTTCATCATTTTGGGGTCAACACACAATGCTTGAGTTTGACACATAGAAATGTTATCATATTCTATTAATTATTTCACTTTTCAAGACAGGTTTCCTTTTCAATACAGATAAATTGTTCAATAGAAATCCCATTTCAGGATGAATCTGGGAAAAGCATTTTTAAAAATGAGATGAATCTACTTGGAATTTCAAAATGTTTTAGCAGGAAGGATCTTCTTAGACACTTTGAATATAGATCTTACTGTATTTTTTACAATGGTGCTGGATAAAAGAAGCTTGGAAACCTTACAAAAAGAAATACAGATTTATCTCTTAGTTCTGCTTTTTTTTTGTTGTTTGGTTTTTTTTCACATACAAATTGCAATTTTGAGGTGCTCAACCTTCAGAAAAAACTGATCATCTTCCCCTGGGTGTTGGAAGGTTGCAGGTCACTGGGTGGTGGCCACCTTCATCTCAATCACCATGGGATGCAGGTGGTGGGAGGCAGCTTGGTCAAGTGGCAGGTGCCTGTGATGGGAATACTTGTCTGTAGCAGAGTAAGGCTGAAACGTGGGGAAGCCAGAGAAGGGAGAAGGTGAAAATGAAAGAATAAAAAGGTAAAGACTTGGTTTCCAGGCTGAGAAAGACAGGAGTCATTGGTCCAGCAGCATGAGTAGCAGCTGCATCAGTCCCTGATGTCTGCAGAGGGCAGGGCTACTGTGAGTGACAGCACACTGCTCTGATCATGTGGGTATCGCCTCTTCTTCAGATAGACATGGCATGACAAACAGGGGAAGTTCAGGTTAGATATAAAGAGGAAGCTCTTTACTCTGAGGGTGCTGAGGCGCTGGCACAGGGTGCCCAGAGAAGCTGTGGCTGCCCCATCCCTGGCAGTGTTCAAGGCCAGGTTGGACACAGGGGCTTGGAGCAAGCTGCTCTAGTGGAAGGGGTCCCTGTCCGTGGCAGGGGTTGGAGCTGGAGGAGCTTTAAGGTCCCTTCCAACCCAAACCAGGCTGGAAGTCTGTGATTCTATGACTCATGGCACCAGCAGCTCAAATAGCTTCTCCATGCAGCTGCTGGGCTGGGAGCCTCCAGTACTGCTGGGATCACCCTGAAATCTATGCTGGCAAAGCCAAGCAGAGCAGAACAAGCACTGATTGACAGCCCAACAACCAACAACCTGATATTGCTATAGTGAGGAAAAGCTGCTCTTTACAAATTAAAGGTCTGCTGTCAAAACGTTAGGTCATGAAAGGCTGAGAGGGTTTTCAGATGGGCTCACAGGACTTTTCATGTAGTGCCCTGGGAGAATGGAAACAGCAATGCCAAAACAAGGGCCTGCTCCTCCCCAGTCCTGACATTTTTTGACTTAGTGTAGCTTAGTTCACTCCCAAGTTTCCCTGTTAGTAACTCAGGAAGCTGCCAGAATCTTCTACCACTCGAAAATCAAATGTGTAATATTAAAGAGGAGAAGATAAACACATTTTACTATCTCTGCCCATGGCAGGGGGTTAGAACTGGATGAACTTTCAATTCTTTTCCAACCCAAACCAGTCTGTTACTCTATGACGATTCTAGGTTTTTGTTTAAGGAACTTGTTAGTTAAAGCCCATCTAAAAGGCATTTTGTTCTTGGTTCAGAAAGTGCCTATTTAATCGAAATGCATTTCATTCCCAAGCCAGCAAAAAAATAGCCTGTCCCCAAATCCTCCTGCCACATAACCCCATTTTAACCACAGAAATGACCCCCAACATCAGCATCCATGGGGGAAATCCTGCAGAAATCCACCCAAAAGCCAAAAGTGCTGTTTTGCCACACTCTGTTTGCAAACCACAATAAATCCCTAGGTTTTGAGCTGCTTCAGCCTAGTCCAGGTAAGGAGCATGTCGAGCCCGTGTGTGGTGTGGGTGCCTTCCCTCTGGACAGTGTCCCCTTCTGTCGGAGCCATGTGCCAGTTTGCGTCCTACTGATGCTCTGATCGTTTCTGTTCCTACTCACCTCTCTCAGAGTTCTCCAGCTCTTTACATCTCGTGTTGAATTACTTCTCGAGAACCTCCTCCCCCTGACTGTGCTTGTCTAAACTCTCTCTTTTTTCTTTTGCTTTTCTTTCCTCTTGTGACTCGTCTCTCCCTTCTGTTGCTTCTCCTTCTGTTCTGTACCTGCCTGCCTTTGTGTTTGTCCGGTGTTTCCCTTTTTTATTTTCTGCTTTGCTTTGTTCCAATTTTTATGTAGGGCAGTGGTTCAGTTAATGGGAGCCCCTTGCTGTCGACATCTGGTGCTAGTACCCCATGCCGGGGTCGGAGGCAGCTCCCACAGACTCCACTCACCCCACGCCCCAGCATCACTTACAAGACCGCTAACTCCTCGCCCGTGCACTTCACCACTTTCCAACCTGTCCTGCCCACCTTCTCCCCGGGACGCCTGAGCCGCGGCTTGTCCGAGCACAACGCGCTGCTGCGGGGGGACCAGCAGCCGCCGGTGGTGGCCCGCATCGGCTCCGACCCCTACCTGGGCCACCGCGACGACGCCGACAGCCCCTACCATGCGGTGCCGGAGGACACGCTCACCTTCGAGGAGGCCGTGGCCACCAACTCGGGACGGTCCTCAAGGACTTCTTACGTCTCCTCCTTGACCTCCCAATCTCACCAAATCCGCAGGGTGCCCAACGGTTACCATTACACGCTGGGTCTCAACACGGGCCCCGGGACTGGCACCAGAGGACGTAGCTACTACCACGAAGCCGATGAGGATGACTGGTGCTAGCGGAGTGGCAAAACCCTTCAAAGTGTGCGTGCTTAAAATCGATGAGTTTTATCATCTGGAAGGCTGTGCGCTCCGATGCGCGCAGTGCCCGGGGCTGGAGGGTACCCACGGGGTAGCCCCTATTGCAAGAACTGCTCTGCCCCCAGGTCTGGAGACGCTCCTGCAGCCTCTCTCTTCAATTTTTCTTTAGTTTTTCTTTTTTTTTGTTTGTTTTCTTTTTGTTTTTCACTAGACAAATGGAGGCAGAAGGCTCCCTCCTTAGGGGGAAGGCAGCGTGTGGAGTGCATCTCTCTCCCCCTGTCGCCTCCCTACTGCCTTGTCTAGTTCAGAGACACGCACCAGATGCCAAGTCTGCAACACGAGTGAGAAGCCAAGAGAAGAGCGGTCCTCACCTTCCACATCAGAAGAGCAGACAGTCGACCCTTCCCGAGATTGGCACTGGTTTTTGTTTGGGCTGTTTCTGACTTGATTTCACATTCTGTTTTTGCCCCTGGTCAGGGTGGGAGTCTGGGAGTTGCAAATGGACACAACACATGAACAAAGCTCGTATCCGCGGTTTATCCCGCTCACCGCTAAGATGGAAGAGATCTACCCACGAAACTGGGAGAGGAGAAACACAGACCAGAACAAAGGACAGTCCACTGGGACTTGATGTTCAGCCACAGCAATCCTTGTCGGCAGAGCCAGTGCCATGCTCCAGAGCTGCCTGAGCATTGAGGCAGCTGGGACTCTGCTCCGACACCGCTGCCGTGTGGATCTCTTTTACTTCACTCACCACGTTGGGTCCTTCACACTGACACATGATAAAGCCACAAGAGAGCTACTTTGTAAGGACTGTTTCCTTGCTGCTGAGACTTCTCTTTCCGTCCCTCTCTCCTGTTGACCGCAACACGCCCTCACTGTTTTGTCTTGTTTACAATATAAGCTTGATTTAGCAAAAAAAAAAACAACAAAAAAACAACTAAAAAATAGACAAACCCAGACAAAAAAAAAAGGAGGAAAAAGGTTAGGGATGAGAAGAAGAAAATGTTATTGGTTTTATATCAAGCTATTAGATAGAACTTTAACTTTTCATTGTGTGCATTTTTGTAAATTGTACAGTAAAAAAAAAAAAGAAAAAAAAAGGAAAAAAAATTACTCTTTATGTAGAGAATTAGTCCAATTGTCATTCCAGGTCCCACCGTTTCTACCGAATGCTCCAGTTGTTCACTACTAAGTGCCTAACCTTTGAAATCTTTCACAGCGATGATGCAACCTCTCGCTTCGATGCATCAGCCCTTGAGGCGAGCGTGGGGAGGAGCAGGAGGGGAGGGAGGGCAGGGCCCCGGGGTACCGCGGCATGGTGCTGGGTATCGCAGTGCCAGGTTGGAAGCTTACAGTGGGGAAGGCAAAGATGCTTTGGGGTTGGTTTGGGTTTTGTTGGCCTTTTTATTTCTTCTTCTTTTTTATATATCTACCTGTACTTTTCTGGGTAGGAGGGGTGTGGTTGCAGCAAACAAACCCGGCCTTTTCTCATTGACCAGTGTTTAGGTCCTGCGGGAGAGATGCAGGTGGAAAAGTACAGCATCTGCAGAGAAGCTCTTCTCTTGCAGGAGAAGCAGTGTCCTTCACACTGCGTGTCAAGTCGCAGTCGGGCTGCGAGAGCTCTGGCCATGTTCCATGGTGCATAACTTGTGTTGAGGGCAGTTGGAGAGAGTCTTGGGTTTATTGCCTGTTAAGAGAAGGTTAAAATAATGATAATACAAAGCAAAACCTCTAACTCTGATTCTCAGGGATGAGATTTTTGTGTTCTCGCAATGACTCTTGTGTTGGATGATTTCTTTCTTTCGTGCACATGTGGATTTCTGCACTTTGAGCCTTGGGAAAAGGGCAAATACGACGTGCTGCTGGGGAGGGAGCACTGAAGGAAAAGTCCTGGGCAGGACCTTGTGTCCATGGGTCTGATGAACCATTGTAGGGCTAATCTGGGGCACAGGGACCTGTAGTATGCTGACAAAAGGTTGAAAGAGAATGGGTGGGAGGTGCCAGATGAGCACACCACTAAAAGCAATGATAGGGAAGAAGAGAGGGTTGGACAGCTGATTTTTTTCAGAGGATCTATCAAGCCCCAGAACTGTGAAACTTCTTAGGATGGGTGTTGACCCTGCTGGACCCTGGGGATTCCTTTTGTATCTGGGGTGATTGGAGGGTATGGGATGCTACCACAATGCTCTCATGCTCTCAGCAAGTGTTTCAGCCTCAGGCAGGGAGCAGTCTGCTGTAGGGTGGTTCTTCACATCTGTAGCTCTTCTGTTGAGTAAATTCAACCTGTTTTCGTTTCCTTCTGTGGTTTTCTGTTTTGTTTTGTTCTGTTACTAAATAATAATCTCTGGCTAATCTCATCCCTGGATTCTGCTAAAGGATAACTCCTGTCTATATCTCTGTCTCTGTATTTGTGTGCACTTTGAATAAAGGAAGTGCAGTAGCCGGAGGGCTGCCGTGGGTAACAGCTGTGATTTGCAAACGGAGGGCTATGCAACAAGATGACACGTTCAGAAACACATCCAAACCACCAACAGCCCGAAAGACCTTCATCCATTCTGTAGCTTTATCTGCTGGATTTTCCTGTTTCAGGCTTCAGCATGATTGTGACCAAATGTTTTATACATTTTCCTTATATGAAGGCACAAACACTTTATTTGGGATTTTAATGAAAATGTTCCTATTTTACTCCAGGAAGTAAAGGAGAGGGAAACCACAATCTCTCTGCCAGTGCATGCAAACATTGTACCCAAACTGGAAAGCAAAAGAGGTGTCTTTCCATATGGAAAAACTTTGTCTTTCCCCTTCCTCTACCATTGTAGACACTCAAGCCCCCAGTCCCACACTAACACACCATCTGGAAGCGCACAGCCAAAACCCATGGCCCTTGGGTCACTCCAATTCTTAGGTAGAACATGAAGAAGAACCTCAAGTTGTCCAGTCCTCCACCTGCCTCGTAGGGGTCGATGCCAGTGACAGACAAGCCTGACCACAGTTGTTCATAACCCTTTTCCCCCCTTTTTTTACAGCCTCTCTGCTGTCTCTTCAATGCATACATGATATTTCCAAGAATCCTCATAGTGAGTTGCCAAACTTGAATTGCACCAATCAGTTTTCTGCATCCAGAAACCAGTCTCGTATTGGCTGTACTTTGACTAAGTAATGTTTGCATGTAAAATATATACATATATACATATCTATAAAAAAAGTATGTGCATGGAAAATGTTTATCTTCGTACTTTTTTGATACAATGTATTCATCAGTTGTTAATTTTTAATTATATTTGATATAAATTGGGGGTTTGTTGCAAAACTTTATATTTAAAAAAACAGTGTTAAAAACGATGAAAGTTCCAACAATGCAACACAAGTGGAACTTTACCCAAAAAAAAAAGGGGGAAAAAACAAAATGAAGAAAAAATAAGGTTCTGTGATTGCCTAGTTTGCTGCCTGAGTAACATTTATCAGCCAAACTTTGAATTCTGCAGTTGTTTCTACAATTACATTTTGTATGAAGCAAAGTCCTTGAATTAAAATAAAAACTTAGCAAAAAAAAACCAAACCTGACCAATTCCAAGACGGTGTGTGCAGTGTGCATGGTGACAGGGACACCCCATCCTGAGCCCGGCCAGTGCCGTGGGAGGCAGCTTGGCCTGGCCACCACAGTGAGGGAGAGCCCCTGAGATCACTGGCTCTAACTGAGCTCAAACTGGGAGGCTGGAAGAAATTGGCCACCTCTTGTGTGTGCTTCCATAGGGGCTTCACAGGTGCTGGGTCTGAGCAGGGAGGTGTTTGCAGATTTGCTTTTGCAGTGTGGTGCCAGCATGGAGTTTATGTATTATTATAGCTGTGTTACCACAGGAGCCTTCCAGTATCTAAAGGGGGCTACAAGGCTGCTGGAGACGGACTCTTCATCAGAGACTGCAGTGACAGGACAAGGGGTGATGGGCTCAAACTGAACCAGGAAGTTCAGGTTAGATCTAAGGCAGAAGCTCTTCCCTGTGAGGGTGCTGAGGCGCTGGCACAGGGTGCCCAGAGAAGCTGTGGCTGCCCCATCCCTGGCAGTGTTCAAGGCCAGGTTGGACACAGGGGCTTGGAGCAAGCTGCTCTAGTGGAAGGTGTCCCTGCCCGTGGCAGGAGTTGGAGCTGGAGGAGCTTTAAGGGCCCTTCCAACACAAACCATTCTCTGAGTCTATGATTACAGTTCCTGGAGTCCAATAGGCAGCAAACTTGCATAAGCGGAGGATTACAAAGTCTGGCAGTAGTTGTTTCCTTCCAGGTGGTTGTTGTTGATGCACAAAACTATTGGGCATGTAGCTCCCTTTAGCATTAACCCTTATTATACCTTAAATCTACTCTCAACAAGCATTCTGGGTGCTACTTCAGGTAGGCTTGGGCATGTCAATGAGTAGCACATGGGGGTGGATTGGTGTCAGGAGGTGCCATGTGTCCAGGGTATAGCACTTGTAGAATAGAGAATACTGCTACTGCTTGACTGTACCTTGAAGTTTCTACTCCAGAGGCTTGCACTGAGCAGAAGAAGGTTGGACAGGTCAGGCTGGATGGGGCTTGGAGCAAGCTGCTCTAGTGGAAGGTGTCCCTGCCCGTGGCAGGGGTTGGAGCTGGAGGAGCTTTAAGGTCCCTTCCAACACAAACCAGGCTGGGGTTCCAAGAAAAAACCAAGGGCTGCTGGTACAAAAGGAAGGAACTTTTAATTTCTTTGGATAACTGGAGAACCACACTCATTCCTTACAAGGAGCATGAAAATCCACTGTGTGTACCTTCTTCATCAGGGTCTGCTGGTGAGACACTTCAATGTCCTTGAATGCCAAAGACTCTTGGAAAGGTACTGAGGAAAATGAATGGCAACTGTAGAGCCCTGTTGAAGGGAGAACCATCACACTGCTGCATTTTTCAGTACTCTTCAAAGCACAAGGTCTACTGCAGCATTCAGCTCTTCTTCTTCTCTCTTGACGCATCTTTTCTGTAATGGGACCACCCGAGGTCCCACCTGAGCTTCAGGTATCGTGTGAAATGCAAGGAAAAGGTCCTTCACTTCCTGATCATCAGGAAGTAACACAGGAAGAAAATGGTTTTGCTTGAGATCAATCAAGTTTGCAGCAGAACTTCCCTTGCCTTGTAGTCTGGTCTGTAGTGCAGGGTTTGGGTTTCTGGGGTGCGATGCCAGTGCAGCACTGGGGAGAAGAATAGGGCTTTTATTAGAGTTTTGAGGTATCCCAAACAAGAGAAGTGGACATTTCTGAATGTGTCTGAGCAGTGGAGAAGGGCAGGCTTGAAAAGCAGCACAAGATTTGAGAATCAGTGTGTGTCCCGACTTCAGCAGAGACCCCCACGGCATCCAATCAACCATCTGGGGAGCTGGAATCTGCCTGGAGGATGAGATGAGCAGTCTCTCCCCTCCAGACATGTATCACAGAGGACCTCCAAACCCAGTTTACAACCCTGAATGTGTTTTCAAATCCTAAAAGCCTTTTGGCAGCTTTTGCCTTTGTTTTTTCTTGCTTTCTCCTTATTTCAGTTTTATTCTATTGGTCCACAAGAGCAAGGCATCAATGTGCCCATCGGCTTCTCCAGGGAGAGCCTGGAAGGGATCCTGGGGGGAAGGAGCAGGAGGGATCCAGACTCAAAGCATCTCCCACATCAAAGACACTGGAACTGAACCACCCGGTTGTGCTTCACTCCAGTTTAAGCGCAGCTGAACTCCACAAAGTGGCTTTATTTTAGTATATAACTGGTTCTCATGACCAGTGCAAAGTTCCTCACGCCAAGCTGCTGTGAGCAGCTGTCCCTTTCCCTCAGGGGCGCACCTTGCTAGCACCTTGCCTCCCTTCCCTCCACTCCCAGCCCTATGGATAAAATCTGGATCGATGCTCCCAAGGACAGCACCCCCACGCCATGTTTTACCATTAGGGGGTAGCATTTTCAGGCTTTTCGGACTTCACAGGGAAACAAAACAATGGGAAAAGGCTGATTCATCTCCCCTTGCAGGGTCATTCCCTGCAATGTTTGTCCTACGATGCAGCAAACCCAGGGTGAGACACTGAGCACACTGGAGCTCAAGGTGCTCGGGTACCTTTTGTACTCCCTGGAGCATGAAAACCCAGCGTCATCTGCCTGATTCCCTATTCCAGCCACATTTGCAGGCGATGCTCGGAGACTCCTCCAAGGTGATGAATTCATCCCTGGTCAGCCCTGAGTCAATCTCCTGCTATTTGGGGCTGCAGAAAGCACCGTATCAGAAAGCACCTGGCCATAATAATGAGCCTCAACGCTGCCCCTCAGCATGTTTTGCAGAAGAGGCAAGTTTTGCGCCTTCATGTGGTTTAAAAAGCAAACAGCCCCCTTCACGGGGACTGCATTGCCCAGGTCACCCAGCAAGCGAGTGCAGAAGGAAGGACAAGGTATCCTGAGCTCCTGTAGGTTATTCTGTTTTCAATCACTGCCATGTGGTTTTGCTACACCCACAGGCTCCCAGGAGGGCATCTCAGTAGCAGACACCTCGGTTCATTGGAGAGAACTCAAAGGCAAGGTGCAGGAAGAGAGCTGATGAGAGGTGGGGGCTCATGTGGGGGTAGCTGTGAGGAGCTCTGGTGCAGAAGGGTGGCCCCGATGAGGCTGTGCAAATACTTGTGGGGTGAAGTCTGAGGTGGGTAACGGCACGAAGGAGCTGCCAGGGCTGTTTGGGAAGGGAGGGCTGAGCAAAGCAGCTCCCAAGGGAACCGATGGGAACACCGGAATAGAGCCCTTCACCCACGGAGGAAGCCTGGGACGTGCTGATGGAGCAGAGCTGTGTCAATTCAAAGCAAACAGTATCAGTAACCATAATTTATTCATTTTATCCCCATCTCCACTTTGTGTCATTGCTCTGAAACAGAATATCCCAGCCCTGGCTTTGTCTGTGTCTGGTTTTATTATTTCTCTGTCTCTGGCAGCCTTTCCTCAGGCCCTCATGGCACAAGCAGAGGAAGAGGAGGAGGCGCGGTCCTTGTCCAGCAGCTCCTGCACCGGAGTCTGGAATACCCACAGGGGTGTAGGAAGAGGCTGAGGAGGGCAGTGGATGTGGTGGTGTTACTGGATTCAACGTGTTCAGAAAGATGCTGCTGAGCTGAGCCAACAGGACTGTGACACAATAAATGAATGCCTTTGCCACGGGGCGGGGGGGGGGGTGTTTCTTCCTCATGGAGTGAAGAGTGTTTAAAAGACTTCGTTCTGCAGGTGACCCACCTAAAAAGCCTCCTCCTGCAGCTTGTGGTCTGTGAAAGGACAGCAATTGAGCATCCTGCAGCAGGACGAAGCCCACAGATGCGACCGGAGATGCGCTGCTGGGACTGGAGGTCACCACTGTGGAAGTCAATGGGATTCAGCAACACCTGGGAAAGGAAAAGCCAACCCCCTGTTGTCGACAAATAAAGGCCTCAAGACAAAGCAAATGACTCCAGTGTCTCTGACCTTCATTTCCTTGGCAAGGAGTCAGTGCGTGGCAGGGGAACGAAGGGCCTGGAAATGGGCAGAGAGGGGTGAGTCGCAAGTTTTGCACCCTGCTGGGCTCACAGCTCCCCAGAATCAAGGCGTTCAAGACAGGACCTTCAGAAGCCTCATTTCCCACTGCATGGAGTGGTGTTGGCTGAGCAAAGTGGCAGCCAGGGGGTATTCACCCACAGGCATGTCTGGCTGCCCCTCGTTGAAGCTGCCCATAGTTATGGGGGTCTTAGGGTGATTGCTGCAAAGAAAATACCAGCACAGACAGGGACTGAGCCTGCCTGCTGCTTGTGGCCACGGTGACAGGGTCTGTGACACTGGTGACACCACAGAGCTGAGAGTGTAGCAGAGAGCAGGGTCTGCTATGGGGCAGCACTGGTGAGGGGCTGTCTGGGATGGTGAGTGGAGAAACTCACTGCTGGGGCTCCTGTCTGGGATGCTGGGTGCTCCAGAGGAGGCTGCAGTGGTGGGAGAGCTGGGCAGGACCTGGCTGAGGTGCGATGTAACCCATGCAATGACAAGAAGGGGGTGAACTGGCCCTGGCTCAGGGCAAGGGCAGCGGGGGTTAAACCCAGGAGGCCAATACAGCTCTAACAGCGAACTGGGGTCCTTCACGTCATCCAAAATGTGTGAGGCTGCCATTACCCCATCACTCAGTGGGGGCAGCATCAGGCACCCCCTGCTCCCACCTCCCCTGTACCACATCCCTGGGGCACAGCTTCGGAGGGGGAAACACCCCCCCAAAAAATTACACCAACTTTAATTTGGGGAGTGGGATGTTCTTCCTATGGAGGCCAAACCAGCACATGGCGGGGGGGGGCCGAAATCCGTGCTGCAGCACCGGATACAAGCGGTGTGTGTCCGTGTGTGTCTGTATTAACCCGTACAGCCCCGCTGGGGAGGGGAATAG